TAAAGCCCTCCTTTGTGGAGAACAAAATCTGCCTTTGGGAGACTAGAGCCAGACGCTAGAGGCGCTCCCAGCGAAAATACTGGTTCAAATCTGTTGTAGACATGTTTCTTCTTTTCCTTTTTTAGATCCTGTTGGTCCTGTGGATTATTTAGCCCTAGCATATTGTTTTTGTTACAGAAACACACAAAACCTGTTGAATAGTTGGCCCTATCATGTTGGTTCTGTGTTAAGCAAAAACTGAGATCCTGTCGAACATTTAGCGCTGAAATATCAAATGCGCACAAGTCCTGTTGAAGCCCGCCCTAAACTATCAAACAATTGTTGAGGGAACGGTTGAGGGAACAATTGTTTCCCACTTCTGTGCCAGGAAACCTCCCCTTTAAATGGAGAATTAGTCATTAGTTTGCAAGGTCTCCGGGTATCACAGAAGCGGGCAACTCGCACAACCCTAGAAATCGTTGACCCACAGAAACCCTTCCCCTGTTCCACCTCTTGCGTCAAGACTGGGCTCACTTTGCCAGCTCCTCTTTATATTTGGTCCAGTCTGAACCCACACCAGGGTTGCGAAATCTGCGAAGCCCTGCGAAATATGTTTTTAATGGGGAAACCAGTTGGCAAAAAGCTGTTCAGTCCTAACATCCCTTGCCAAAATGCACCAAAGACAAGTCCTTAGAATTGATTTCACCGTCGACCCCGTTGTCCCATCTTGGCTCCGGGCCCAGCACCCACCGCGCTCCGCCAGCAGCATCGCCAGACCTCGGGGCTGGCTTCTGCATCGCTGCTTGGCGTTGGGTCACGACTGTCCGGTCAAAAATCAATAAGGTGTGGGTCAAAAATAGGTGGCCAAATTGGGTTGCCCTGAAAAAGTGTAGGTCAAAAATAGCTAGCCAAAATGGGTTGCGTTTGTAAATGGAAACAAGGATTAAAACCTGCGGTCCAATTCCTGGTTTAAATCTTGAATCAACACCCAATAAACGGTTGGCTCGTGCTTCCAATCCTTGCTGCTCTGGAACCAGTCAACGCTGCGCATTCAGGATCTTCAACAAAAACTAGGTGGTGCTAGAGAGCCACAGCCTCCGCTCAGAACGGCAAAGCAACTCGTTGCTCTTGCGATGTGTGCATTTTTGAGAGAACTGCTGGATTGTGAGTGGATTGTGAGAACAGCCTGTGTTTGAAGGCCACTTCCCAAAAAACAGTCAATGTCACACTTGAACAAGAGTAAGTGACGCTTGACACCTGCATGATAGGGTTGTGGGATACCTTTAACGGCCACATTTTGACCTGATTACAGGCATCCTCCAAGTCAGGGTTGTTGCCCATCTCCCAGGAAAACAACCGCTGCCCGTCTCCCTGCGAGCTATGCCATCTCATCACGTCCAATTTTTTGTTTGACCTCAGCCTTGATGCGAAGAGCTCCAGGCGAGCAGAAAACCCGAAACCCACCCGAGACCCAGCCTAAACTCGCCCCAGCCGAGCCCTAAACTCGCTGCAGCCCACCCCCAAACCGCCCTGAACCAAGCCCAGAAGCCACTCGAGAGCTCCGGGAAGAGACCCTCATAGCTTTCAACTCGCTAACAAATTGGACTACGTCCCTTTGCTTCTGCGCCCCCGGGAAAAAATGACAACATATTTCGTACTGATAGAGTCCTTAAAATATGTTCAAACATAAACATGTTAAGCAAATGGAAGCGGGGCTGGTTACAGGGGTCATCCGGATTTCCCCGAATCAAAAGTTGATGAACACTTCCCGGTGGATCAACACTTACCGGTGGTTTCCATTGCAACGACTGCCACTTTTGAAGGTTCCAAAAGGGAAATGAAGAGGAAACCGAGAGTTCTTCCAGCTTACCTAGGTCCTCCAGTCCAGTTAGAAAAAGTTGGTGCCCTAGTTTTTGTCTGTAGTCCATTGTAGTAGGGGAACCCTCCCAACCAAAAAAGAAACGGGTGAGAAAGGGCACCTAGCTGGGGGTGTCCAGATCTGAGCTCCCGGCGGGGTTCGCCGCGCAGGGGCGCTTCCCCTGCCAGGTTTGTGTTGGCCACGGTTCCAATGTGGCTACGGGTCAAAACCCCCGGTACCCCCGGTGACACATCCCAGTCTACCATTGGTGTTGACCCACGGCCATGTGTCTTCAAGTAATACATTGACCTCCCGCCCCGGCGGCTTCGGCTTCCCTTGGCTTCTCTTTAAAAGGGTTCCCAGTTTAAACCCACCTCAAGGAAGGAGACATCCACAGGCGTTCCAAGGCCGAACCAATTCAAAATAATTCAAACCTTGTGGCTCAAGCTGTGGATTGGAAACTCCGACTTCGTTACGAAGGAAACCCTATGAGACATATCACAATGCGCCTGACAACTGTTGGGCTTCCGGCTATGCTTAAAAAAATGCTCGTATTGACGCCTTCATCGGAAACTGGACTTGAAGCTGAAACAAAAAAGGTGCGGGGGGGGGGGGGGGGCGGCGGTCAAACAGCACACTCTGGAACTCGGCCACAATGTGGAGCATCCAATCGAGCGAGGGGCACCTTAGGTCTGCCTGTTTTTCTTCAGGGGGCATCATTTGCCACTAGTGGTTCGATTGACATCTGAGACAAGCTTGGAATACAAAGCGGAATCCTAGCTACACTAGGCGGCCCAGACATGTCCAATCATCCAAACAGCACATCTCTGCCATTGAGTCAATCTTTGAACTTTGGGTGTGGCGGATTTCGACGACCCGTTCCCCGAAATGGCGGCTTGCGCTTTGAATGTTCGATTCTTGATATTCTCACTTTCGCTGATTTGGCGGTGGACACCGACCTCAATGGAGGGATCCAAGAGAAACCTTTCGACCCCGCAAAAAAGCTTTCAACTCTTTGCCGATTGAAAGGGACAATGAACAGGGGTCACGAATTTCCCGTGAAAAAGTTGGAATCTCGAGGAAACCCGATCATGGTCCCTAGTCCCCAAAGTCTGGTGCCCGAATCCTCGTGGTGCAAGCTAAGTCCGGTGGACCATGATCGTGGTTCGCATGAGGGAACCTCCAAACAGGCTTCGGCGTCCCCTTGGTTCCTTTTAACAGTATTGCCAAAAAAAGGGGTACCCTCCCAAAAAAAAGCCGATTGGCTTAGGGTGTTGCTTAAAAGGGAGCGCTTTGTCTCAACATGGTGGACCCCCCCAAAAATGGCTTCGGTTTCCTCTGGTTTTCCATTCGCCAACCTCAAGAGGGTAGCCCCCCCCACCAAAGAAGCAAAAACACCGGCCTACCTCGGCTTTTGTCCAGATCAACCATATCCAAACATAACGCACCGAATTTTGTGCATGGTCTCTGCACCTATGTTAAATTACCCAAAGATAGCCCTACCGTGGATGGTTGTGATCTCCATTTCGCACCAATGTTCGACGTTCAAACACCCTGGTTTCTGGTTCACCGAATGGCATAAACCTCCACCTGAGCACTCGCCTTCGTTCTTGGGGGTGCTGGACCCCATTCCGCTCCAATACATCTCCCCTGTTCCGACCCTTGTGGTAGCTCACCTAACCCATTTGGCTGTGGCTCAAAAAAGTGGAATTCCAAAATGGCACCTTGGTAAATGGAACCAAAAACTAAAACCCGCGGTTAGCCCCAGCTCTTTAACTTTGAGCCACACCCATTTCGGTGCAAACTCGAATGGATTTTTGGTCCTTCTCCTCCATCGGATCGGATCAAAGTTGTCCCGGCCTTCGCCGCACTTCCAGGCGGCCTCACAGGACCGGGGGTCGAACAGCAGGTGTTTCCAGTGGCTTCAGTTGGGCACCTTGGTTTCATCAGAATCCGAATTCCGCCAACCAGGCTTCATGAAATGGTTGATGCAAATGTTCTCGAAAACCGGCGTGTTTGGGTATGGAGTATGCTTCGGTCTCTTGTGAACTGAGTCCGTATCTAAGTTCATGGCCACACAAGTAAAACTTACAGAGGCCTGAACCCCCATGAAGCCTTATACGAAAAACGATCGACGATGGCCAATGTGACGAAAAATGCTGGGCGGGTTCCATTCGGGATTGTTCATGCACACCAGCCTCTTCGCACCAGTTGATCAGTTGGTGGGTGGTTGGCTCATCACAGCATCCCCAGGGCTTCATTGAACAATGGCCAGAACCCCAAAAAAGCTGAAACGCTCAAAGCCACGGTGTAGAAGGTGTGTACGGGAAGTTGCCTGGGCCATTTACAGTCAGACCGCGTGGAGAAAGGGCCAGGAATCTCGGATGATCCTCACTTGGGTTGGAACCAAAAAAGCCGTCCCTGTTTCGAGGATTTTTTTTTCTTGGGGGGGGGTATCTCGAACATCCTTTGGGCTGTTCATTTTCAGGGGATAGAAGCCTTTGAGCAGGGATGGGCTTTAAAGCCTAGTTGCCTTTTGCCCACTCTTGAATATGTGACATTGACTCTGATGTTCCCTGAAAGGGGTGGTCGGAACCAGTTGCATTTGGGGAACACACGCTTATTCTGCAGGCAGCAATGTCAGGTTTGGAGGGGAGAGGGGAGCAGTATAAAACCGTGGGAATCAGGGGTGGTGCTGTGGGACTAGATAATTGTTCTGGATTCCCCTGATTGGCACGGTGCATTGCTCCGCATTAACCCCTTAACCAGAGCGAGCCCTCTAACTGTTCTTGGTCTAGCTTGGGCTACGCTCCCTCCCACTAACATGGCAACTGACAGGGGGTCCCTTCAAAAGGAAGTTCATCTTCGAGGTACCTTTGTCCTTTTTCTGATTATTTCTGGATAAGCTTAAGTCAGGCTTAAGCCAGCCTGCATTCAGGGTGAAACCGGGGACAGCCTCAGCCAAGCTTGGAGGTTCAGGCGGAAACAACTCATAGTGAGGACATCTGCCAAAAACAAAATGGGGGTACGTGCACGTTGCTCCGGAGTGAGAAAACAACGGCGGCTCTACCTTTATCTTTTTACCTTCGTTTGCTTCAGGTGAAAGGGAGGCCCATCCCAAAGGATGAACAAAGGGTGTGTCCACTTGGCTGAGTCCATGTTTGAAAGGCGATTGAGTTGGATCACGGGCTCAGCTCCTCTTTTCTTCCGCAGGCTTTGCGCCATCTTGGCTCAGCTGGCCTCAGACGGCGCACGGAAAGGCATCTACCACTCGTGGGCCCATGCGGCATTATTGCCCCTCTAAACCAGGTCCACCAGTCGAGAGCTTAGAATAAGGGTACCAACTTTTTGCTGTAGTTTATTTTGGTAGGGGAACCCTCCCAACCAAAAAAGGCGAGAGAAGGGCACTACTGAAAGACCTAGGTGTCCTCAAACAGCACAGCTCCCTTGAAGCTTGGGAGAGGCAACCTCACATAATTTCATCCGAGGAAAGCCCTCAAGGTCAAGCTCCGGCGCTTCGCCAGAACTAACATCTTGCCAGGACCTGTCAACACGAGCTTCACGTCGAAGAATAAGAAGGAGGAGGAGGCAAAGGCGGAGGAGAAAAAGAAGACGAAGGGGGAGAAGAAGAAGACGGAGAAGAGTAAAACCTGAACACATAAATGCACACGAACAAAACAACACTCACCCACACATACATAACCGACCAGCAATACACACCTCAGCCAAAGACGCCACAGCACGCACAAAAAAGCAGAACAAAAAGAAACAACAGCGCAACCAACTTTGCAAGGCCAAACCTCAAGAGCCCTGAATATTGCAAGTAGCCATACTCAGCCACAACACCATGGGTAAAACATGGCAATTTGGAGGGTGTCTTTCTTCCCTTACTTGCAATACTTGTATTCAGCCACCCTACTCCTACAAAAGTTAAATGCCACACACACACAACTCACGCTTGATCCAGCTGCGTCTTGAACACTTCGCGAAGTTGACCCGTAAACCGAATCCAATGGCACAAACAAAAAAAACAACATTTCTTGAACTCCCTAACTATCCTCCATGTGCCAACTGGAAAACATGAGAACATATTTCCAGGAGTGATAGATTCCCTGTAAAACCAACGGGGGAAATACCCTCCCTCCCACTAACATAGCACCTGCGGGAGGGTACCTGCAAGATGAATTTTCTCTTAAAGCGACCCTCTCTGAGGTGCTATGTTAGTTGGAGAGGGGGTAGCAAAATTATTTTTCAGCAAATGGAAGGTCCGTGCTGGCGACTCCATTGCTCAACTTGCTGTAAGACAAATCCAGGCTCCAGCCCTTGGACGGGTAAAAATCCCAACAAACATTCTGCTAGGTCCTGTAGAGGTTGGTTAGAATAGGTACCAACTTTTTTCTGAACCCTCCCAACCAAAAAACCCAGATTTGAGAGAATAAGTTGGTACTCGACTTTTTTCTGTTTTGTCTATTTCAGTAGGGGCTTGCCCTCCCAAACAAAAAAGGGGAGAGAAACGGCACCTAGCTGGGGCACCTGGTCTGAGTCCAACAAACAACCGGAACCGGATCCTCTGGTCTTTGGCGAAAATAGTTTTTCATGGGCTTCCCTTCACTTGGATGTCCACACGCAAGTGACATTCATATCCTCAGACGCCCAGTGGATTTCCGGGGAACAAAAAGGCTTGGTTGTTTTTTGGGTGGTTGAGTTACAAGGGAACCCTTCCCCCCCAAAAAAAAAGGAAAAAAGGGCACCACTGCAAGTGGGTATCCCCAGTCAAGTCCCAGTGGGATTTTCTCTGACTCACTTAGGGGAGTCATAGACTGCCGATATTTCTCTCTTCCTGAGTGGATTGGCCAAAACAAACTTTCAATGTTGCCTCTACAATGGTCCAACCCCAAAAAGCTTTTGCAGTCAAACTCAGGAAGTGAGAAATCAACCACCCTGGGTTGGACATACTGTGCATGGACGAAATCCGTTTCGCACCACCTAAGAAGCCCTGGAATGAGTTGATTCCCCCTGCAAATACCAACAAATGCGAAGGATTCAACCTGGGCAACTCATTTCGGTGCTGCGAGACTCGCGGAACGCCCAGTCTCCGCACCGAGCGACGGAGCTCCGCAGCACGCTTCGAGGCATCTGGAGCCTTCGTGTAGCGAACCCTTTGGGGGCTCCCAGTCACAGCCCCAACCCGTTTCGGAGCTCCATGTGTTTTCCCATCTTCCGGGCAACAAAAAGAACGGGAAGGGGCAATCAACATCTCCTTTTGGGGTGCTTTGCAGGTTAGAAAGGCATCTTGAGATGTTCTCCACGCCCAATTGTGTCTCACTGAGCCTGGAACTCCGAGAAAGAGTAATTATGTAAGTGTCTGCTTCCTGGTTCTCACTTCCGATGTGGATGGGCCAAAAACAAGAACCACACTTTGTGTTTAGCACCAAACTTGCTGGTGCTCAGTAGGGAATGTGGGAATGAACCCAGGGGTCCCTTACAGGAAACCACAAGGGATGGTTTATAAGGCGCATTCCCTCATTCGCTGCTGAGAACCAGCAAGTAAAATGGTCCAACCTGAAGAAACCTTTGAAGTCGGACTCAGGAAGTAAGAAGTAGTCTTAAACATCTGACAATTGGAGGAGAGCCTCAGTTCCTTTCTTGGGCCGACAGCCAAGGGAGGTAGGAGGCAGGGAATCGGTGGATTCAAATAAACAAAATGGGTGTCACCCCAAAATGGTGCGGTTCCCTTAACGGTCTGAACATCCCCAGATTGACCCCATGGAACGTTGACAATATCTTGGGAAGCAACCACGTGTTGGGCCTGCCTTCTCTCAAGTGGGGGCTTGCGCCCAAGACGTAATCTGCATCTAGTGAAACAAGCCTTCCTGAAGAAAGGAGTCCAGAACTTGGAACATTATCATGTGTTTGATCTGCATTGCGTGCAGTGACATAATATGGATGGATAAAAAAAAAAAAACACCCTGCACAAGTTACGATTGGTGGTGTATCCAACACTTATCTATAATGGGCTGTCCGTTTTCAGATCCCCTGCTAAAAAAGTGTGGTTTAAATGAAAACAACTAAACCACTCAGCCAACTGAAAACCACTAAATAGCATTTCTGATCCGGATGGCTGAATCAGAACCGCCATCTGAAAGGGTGTCTATTTCAAGTGGGATTCGCAGGGTGCAACTCACCCTTCACCAGTGGGGATTGGTGGCTTCTTAAAATTGTTTATAGGGCTTCATCTATCCCAAGTGGTGAAGGACTTCGTCCACAGTATTTGTGACAACCTGTCAGGAAAAAAAAACTCCAATCCACATACTCTTTGTCTCAGGGTATGATGCCAAGTAGGGCTTGTCCTGCACACCAGGACTTGGCGAGGAGAACAAAACCAAAAACTCCATCGCCTCTTTCAGCGGCCCCTCGTAGAGCTCCGCCACCCGGCGCAGGGCCTGAAACCAGGTGCTATGGATGACCATGCTTTCTGGGTGTTTTCCGTGTTCTCTTTGAGGGTTCCGACTTCCGTTGGGAAGAAAGGATGCCTAAGAAGCCCATTGCTCGTTTTTGGGGGTAGCCTTGGCTTGGTTTAAAACCACAGGATGATAATAGCCACATTTCATGGGTTCATCTTCTTCGGAAAGGCCAAGCTGCACCAATCCCTGAGTCTTTGACAAACGCTCAGGGGCCAGCAACAAACATCAAACGGAATCAGTTCTTCTTGATCGGTTGACCCCATGTGGCGGACAAAACCCATCGTTTCCGTTTGGAGCTGGGCTGTTGCTGTGGAAAAAACCTACTGGTGGCCCACTTTTCTGGAGCCCTCCCTTGGATTGGGGGGTGTTTCTACTGGATCCATTGGAAGTAATTGGTTTCTATACATGGGTAACCCCAAAATGGCTGGGTTCCGGACTTTCTAACTCCAGAAAATATTTGTGAGGGTACCCCTGCATTGTTTTTTTTTGTTCTCCGGGAAGCCAAGGAGAAAAACAGCAGTTTCAGGTCTCACGCCTGTTCAACCTTCTCTCGAGTCCTTGTAGCGACTCCAGGCAGATTATGTGAATCTCAGTGTCTCACGGACCTTGAGTTCATTCCATGGTTGGTGTACCACGAATAAAGCTCCGCGACCTCATAGACGAACACTCTTATTATGTTCAGGTTCGGGCTCTCTTGTTTACAATGGCCCCAGCACTTAAAGAAGAAGTTATCTCTGAACAAAAGGATGGGGCAAGAGAATGAGAAATCGACCCTTGGGATTCATTGATATTGAGGACTCCCTTTCGACGGCTAAGCATCGCTTGAGGGACCAAGGATCCAAGCGACAAGCACATGAGAACGTCTTGTCAGTGGACCTCCTGAAGGGAAACGCAAACACTTTTTGGTGACCCCATCAAATGATGAGAAATTCCGGGAAAGAAAACACATCTCTATCCCGATAATGGTCACGTGCTTGAATATGGAACCCTCATGTTGGTGGTTTCCCATGGGCGTTTTCCCAAAACGAGCGAGCCACGTCCATATCCTTCCAACTCAGCCCCTTGACCGGAACACTTGGCATCCAACGTGATCTTCTGTACATAAGGCGTTGCTCCAAAAGCCTAGAAGGGCCTACATGGCGAGGTAACACAAATGGACCCAGCAGCAATGGCCTACGAGGCTCGTACCCTGTTCGGGGACTGTCTTCGGCCCAAGAGAAGGTTGCTTCCCATCTTCTTTATACTGCCTCTTTAGCTACTCAAGACCCTTTAAACGATTCGCTTCTGAGGACCGATCGCAGGTGTTCCCTCTTTTTGACCACTCCATTTTGCATGTGGCTGGTGTCCCCTTTTTGTAGGGATTCAGATCACCAAAAATTGGACGGGTGCTACTTGAGTCCGGGATCAATAGGGCGTGTCATTTTTCAGGGTACCCCTTTTTTGGTGTGTCCTAAATGGAAAGCAACAGGAAAGCCACAATTGTTGGGGGTCCGAGTCCAAGCCCTCAAACAGACGCACCCAAAACGTCTAATGCTAGACCTCCTTTAGGAATAGTCCCCCCTGGATGTCTTTGTTCTTTCCAATTCAGCATACCCACCCAGCCATTTAGCCCCACGAAAAACAAAAAGAAAAGGAACACCTACCTATTTAGATCCTGTTCCTCCGCTTCGAGAAATCTGAGGTGTCTGTTGTCGAGTCGCCTGCCAGGCATCGAAGCCGTGGACCTCCCAGCCGAAGCTCCTGGACGTGGACTTCGCCAATTGGACGGGTAAAAACCCAAAAGTCTGCTAGGTCCAACCCAGATCTGAGAGAAGAAGTTGGTACTCGACTCTTTTTTTTCCTGCTTTGTCTATTTTAGTAGGGGCTTGCCCTCCTAACCAAAAAAGGGGAGAGAAAGGGCACCCAGCTGGGGTGCCTAGTCTGAGCCCAATAAACCTTGGTTTAACAAACGGAGCCGGATCCTCTGGTATTTGGCTGAGCTTTTGATGGGCACCCCTTCACTTGGATGTCCACCCCAGGTAGGTGGTTAATATCCCCAGGCCAAGTCCAAGTGAAGAATCTCTCCCTCTCACTTGGGGCACTCATGAACTGGAGATACTACTCACTTCCTGAACTCGTGGCTCGCCGAAAAAGGTAACAATTTCTTGTTTGCCCCTGATTTGGCCCAAACCACCCAAAAAGTGTCTTTCTTCTCTGGCAACTCAGGGGATGAGGTCTGTTTGCAACTGAAATTGTCCAACCGCAAAAAGTGACTCTAAGTCTAAAACGTAACTCAGCGGGTAAGGTCCTGACTTTGGGCTCCTCGCGGCTCTTTCACCTTTTTGAACCTGGAACCTCTGGAGTCTCGGGATCCGCAGCTGTTGCGCACGGCCGTCCGTTTTTACTTTTCTTCCTGGAGTCTCCTTCTGACCCTTAAAAAATGGTTGGTCATTACCCCAAATAATGGGGTCATTGACCCATTTTTAAAGGATCATGGGCACTCCAGGTTTGTTTCTTTCCGAAACTCCCAAGGGCAGCGGATCTCACCTGGGCTTGTAAAGGAAAACTCGGTTGCGAAATCTGCTCCCCTGCTAAAAGTGAATAACTTTTAGTGGGTTTTCATGGGGAAAACCAATGAGTTGGCAACAAGTTGTTCAGTCCTAACATCCCTTGGCAAAATGCACCAAAGAAAAAGCACCCAGTGAGGGTTCAACTGGGTTGGTCTTGACTTCGGTTCAAGCCAACCGAAAGGGGCTTCATGGCTCTCCCATGTGCTCCACGGTTTCACCGCGAAGCTTGCCCACCCCAAAATGTGATGTTTGATCCTTTTGAACGTGGGACCAAAAAGGAGAACAAGAAACAACACACACAAGAGAAGAGCTCAATTCGAGGAAGTTTGAGGGGATATGTGGATGATGGGTATGAATGTTCAGTGGAAAGCCCTTGCAATGAACATTGCTGAAACCAGCTGCTCATGTCAGCATACCACCGCGCCATATCCATGCATCATGGAATCTCTTTCGGTTGAGTTAATGTGCTCCATTCAAGCTTCAGGGTGTTTCAACACGTGAACATCATAGCAATATACGTGGTGGTTGAGGGTACAGTCAAGTTCCTCTTGAACAAGTGTCCTTTGGGTGATGTCTGACGTTTGCTTTTTGGCGATGCCTGAAGGGGACAAAAAAGGTGCGCTTTAACTTGAAGGCACCCCCCTCCTTTGAGGCAAGCCAAAGGGAATCCAACGACCCATCGAGATGTGAAAAAGGACGAACTTACGCACGTTACTCCCCAAAACAATGTCGAATTGGGCTAGTTCTTTCAGAAGACTTTGGTGTTCGTCACCTCAGGGTGCCATGATTGAGTAGACTAAGACCTGCCAAAATCAACCAGTTCAAGTGGAGCTTACTCACAACAAGGGCCATAGCCACTTTAGGCACACCAGCTAACTTTTTAAGAGGCTCGCGACCATCTAAAGGGGTCTCTAGACCATAGTATGGAACCATCAGCTTCTGGATATGTGGGTGTGGCTCAAAATCACTCGGCCTGGGGTTACGCAGGTGACAAAAAAACAACAACGAACCCCCCCCCCCCCCCCAAAAAAAAAAAACAAAACACGAAAAACGTGTTTTCCATTTTCCAGCGGGTACCATGTTTTGAGCCATAGCCATATCCCACGAACCCTGTCCCAAGTCTCCTCCGGTGCAAAGAGTTGTGCTCTTGGTCCACCTCCTGCGCTCGTCTTTTTGCGCCGGGTGGGTGGCGCGTCTTTTTTTGGAGTTGGTGCCCCCCTTTTGGAGTCTGCTTGAAAGGGAAAACAAATTTTGGTCCAACCTTCCTTTCAGACCAAATGAAGCGTCCAACCTTTTGGAGTTGCTTCCTTTTAAAGGAAACCCACCATTTTCCCCCTTTTGGAGTTGGTTTAACTTGGTTGCTGCAAGGACCCCCCTGCAAAAAGTTTTTCACTTTTTGGGGGGTTCGTGGAAAACGCCTTGATTTCCTAACAAGTTAAAGTCTAAAGATCCAACCCAATAGCAGTCAAGTTAAAGGGAAACCAAGAGGAAACCCACCATTTTCCGGGGTCCAACCTTAAAACAGCACACACGCACGCACACCCACACCTAAATGGGTATGTGGCAAAACAGGGGCTTGCACCTTCCATGAAAGTGCCGCCGAAGAATTGGGAAGCTCTGGCTGCTTGCTGGTGTTCCAAGGACTCCTCACTTAGGAAACACCCGGCTTTCGGAGCCTAACAAGTTCGAAACAACAAGTTTGGGGACTTATTTGGCCCGTAGAAGTGAGTGAACCTACTGTGGATGGTGGCTGATTCTATGGGTCCAGGTGTGATCCCATGGCCGCATTGGACTTCAAAGAAGGGCTGATTTCCCATAAGTAAGCAAGTATGAGCGCGTATTTAGCTCAGACACCAGGAGCCGAACCACTGTGGATGGAAGCTAGATCCATTTCGCACCAAAGAAACCCTATGACGGCTCCCCTGTAAATACCAACAAACAATGGCTTTCCATGGCTTCAAAGCGGTGCTGGATTTCGTCCACGGTATGAAGGGCTTTCACCCCCAAAGACCTCACAAAATAAGGGCCGTGGTTTTGGCCTGACGCATTTTCCATGAGTAACAGGTATAACTTTTGGGGACCCACAAGAGAAAGAGTTCACACCCAAGTCGATGTTTTTTCCTGCCCCTGGTCTGGGTGCGTCAAATCCATCTGGATTGCGGATAAGCAACATGGCTTTAAATTGAACAATCAACTCCCTTCCTGGAGAGATTGCCCAAACCCAAGCTTATTGCTTGCCTCGCTCATGTGGATTTCCCAGGAAGCTTAAAGTCCAACTCAGGAAGTGAGGCTACTACACAGTTCCTGACTAAGTTGGCCGGGTAAAGTCCAGGAACTCAGGAAGTAAGACAGTATTTCTGATGTATGTCAAGCCTGCAGTCGCCCCATCCTCTTCGTCGTCCTCTTCCTCTTCTTCCGACTCCTCGGGACGAAATGGGCCGCAAAAAAATATGCACGATGCGGTGTCTTCTCGTTCTCAGCCGACCCATGGGCTAATCAACGGGAAGTAGAGACACGCTACTTTCCATGCATCTGTATGTGTCGATTGGAATGTCCATTCACGCCTGATTTAGGGGAATTTAATTAGGTGTGACGCCAACGAGAGGGACATTCTAAAAAACACACATAACAGAACAGGTGAAACAGGGAATATTTCGATTTGGCAACCATCCCCTCAGCAAACCGACCATCCCATCCGCTTCCAGTGGGGTTTTGCTTTCATGGGAATCGGGGGTGCATAGATCTGTATCAGACGTCAAGGTAAACAATTGATGCGCAGCTCAATGTCTATGGTGTGTCTAAAAAATGTGTGGGACCCCGACAAATGGGTTGTTAGCCTTTAGACTCACTTAGAAACCACCTCAAAAAGTGAACCCTCAAAAGAATATATATAATTTGTGTAATTATATACATAAAATTATGTTGCATTATCAGCATCCGTGGTTGTAACTTGCATACACCTGCTATGTCGTCCGTTCAATTGGCTGCAGCCATTTCCTAACCATGGAATATCAAACCCTCCCCCAGCCATCCCCCGTGACCTTGCCAAGGGCGAGTAAACAGAAGGTGTTGGGGTGTCGGAAGGTTCAGAAGAGTGCCAGGGGGCGGGGGGGGGAGGGGGCGGGGAAGGCAGGCAGGCAGGCAAGAAGATCCTGTAATTACTATGTAAGTGGCAGATCGCCTCCCTACACACACACACACACACACCACACACACACACACCACACACACAAACACACACCACACACACACACACACACCACACACACACACACACCACACACACACAGACACCACACACAACACACACAACACACAGAGACACGGAGACACGGAGACACGGAGACACGGAGACACAGAGACACAGAGACACAGAGACACAGAGACACAGAGACACAGAGACACAGAGACACAGAGACACAGAGACACAGAGACACAGAGACACAAACAGAGACACGCAAGCACACACCACAAATGGCTTTGTTGGTTACGCTTCCTTCACTTTTCCGCAGAGCCCTCGTTTTTCCGAAAAAACACCCTCGTTTCACTGGCCATCCCCCAGGAGAAGTTCAGCGCTTTATCTACAAACGCCACTTACTATCATTCACCAGCCTGCATTGAGGAATGTGTTCGCAACCATGGGTGAGAGACTCATGCTCTCCCGATTCCGTGGAATCGGGATCAAGCTTTGCCCAATCGATTCGCAGAAAACGAATTGATTCTCCCACGTTTGGGGCCCCTGGCCCATTTGTTTGGACCCCGAAGTCACCAGCAAAGCTGACTTGGAGGGCACCACCGAACAATCTCAGCGTGCGATCCCCTTACAGGGTCAGATCAATTCGCTACAACATATGTTGGGCGGCTGGTTAGCAGTTGGGCCTGCAAAGGCGAGTGGGCCAGTGGGTATTTGTTGTGATGTCTGCACAGACCACCATACACACTTACTGCATGTTGTGGCTTTATTCATTTTGTTTCTTTGCATCAAAGTTTCAGGACCTTCATTTCTGCACAAGCTGTTGAGCTACAATTCCCGTTGCTTCCTTGGGTGAGCTCGTTTCACCCCCTTTGATCGGGGAGCTCGATGAACACAGTTGCACTGACTGTGTGAAAGTCTCTAAGCGGTGGTTTGAAGGAAACTCCCAGCACCAGATGCGTGAGAACTTCTTGGGATATTCTGGGCTTCAGCCTTTTGCGACAAGGGGAACTACGGCACACATGTGGGAGATTCAAAATGGATTCAGGGACTCCTCCGAGGGGTTCCCTGTTCCAAGTAAGAGGACCTGAAAAATCGAGTTACAATCATCATTTCTCAGCACTGGGTTTGTGCAAATGGATCGTGGATCAATATGCCTGGCCCCAAAATGACCATAGGTAACTTGTCCCAAGTGGTGAAAGTTGTTTTTTTGTTGGGTGGCTTCCCGAATTGTCACCCCATGAGGGCCTTTTGATCAACTAGGTCTTTTAGTAGGGGTTGGTTCGAATAAGGGTACCAACTCTTCTTTTTCTGTAGTCTATTGTAGGGGAACCCTCCCCCAAACAAAGGGGACCTAGAAAACCCCACATCGGCTGGTTCCCAAAGTCTCAACCTCTGTCCTCTTGCTCTGCAGCCTTGGCTTCCTTTGCGCGGAGCTCCTCGAGGGTTTCCATGGCAAACTCCTCGGCTTGGAGCGTGAATGTTATGGAGGGTGGGTGCCCATTCGCACGGTAAACAAGAACCAGGGCTTCAAATGCCCACACCACCAATCCGAACCAAGCAAAGCTTACCTGAACAAAAGGAGGAAACTAGGGGAAGCAGTTTGAAGAAATGCCAAACTCGTGTCCTTGGAATGGTCAAAAGTCTTGAATGTTGCTTACGCCTACCACCAAATTGTTTTGCTTCCAACAGAGGGGGCCTTTGTGGCCCGTTACATCCGCAAGTCCCTTGCTCAGGGCTTAGGCTTTTAGGAACCATGAACATTGAGATTGGATTTGTGTTTCCAATTGGCTTAGTATTGGTGGATTTGAGTTTCAATTGATTTAGTATTGCTGGAGCCTCCTTTTGAGATTTGACTTGAGGGATTTGAGTGGTTTAGTATTGCTGGAGTGTTGCTGTTGCTGGAGCCTCGTTTTGAGAATTGACTTGTTGGAATTCCAATTGAATTAATGTTGCTGGTGACATTTTTCTGTGGGGGGGGGGCAACCAGGAATCTTTATTTAGGGGGGGCCCTACATAAAGTTTTTTTCAACCCCCAAGTACTGCCCCCCTTGTAGGGTTGATTGGGGGCCACTTTTTAAACAAGTTTAAAATCATTGCAGTTTGGGAGCTGGTATTTTCGTAGATCTGAAATTTTAAGGCAGGCGAGGCAGGTACTGACCAATCAGACCAGCTGGTGGAAGAGGTTGAGATGATGCTAGCGGGTGTGTGTGTGTGCGCGTTGTTTGGTGTGTTTTTGTGAGTGTGTGTGTGTGTGGATTCCCCGCAAAGAAGACAACATAACTTTATTTCGGGGGGGTTTAATCATCTCAGTTGCCCAAAGGACCCAGAAACAAAAGGTTACCCTTTTGGGGGCCATGACTAAAAATGGTTGCCAAGAAGGGGAAGCCAAAAGGTCAGATCTGGTCGATTCGCTTTGGGCCAGTGAGTCATAGGTCGACATACGACCAAATCCCTTCCAGCTCAAACAGCCGGTGGCGATATCTGCCAACCCCTGCTGAAAGCGACTAACTCTTAGTGGGTTTTCATGGGAAAAAACCCCATGCTCAAGGTGAGAATAACTTTTTTAGTGGGTTGTCATGGGGAAAACCGTTTCATTAGTTGGCAAAAAGTTGTTCAGTCCTAACATCCCTTGGCAAAATGCACCAAACAGCCACTGCGTGGAAGCTAGAACTGGTGCGCCATCCACAGTATCTTGGCCACCGGTATCCCAGACCCCCAGTGCCATGGCAAAAAGGGTCACTCTTCTGGTTGTCCGGCTCATATTAAAGGGCCGAAAGAAAGAAAGAAAGAAAGAAAGAAAGAAAGAAAGAAAGAAAGACAGCAAGAAAGAAAGAAAGAAAGAAAGAAAGACAGAAAGAAAGAAAGGAAGAAAGGAAGAAAGGAAGGGGCAACTGGGTGTCTGGGATCTAGGCTATACTCTTGCTTCGGACACCCCGATGTTTCCCGCGAACTCGTCTCCTCCAAGTGGTCCGCGGCCAACTGCAACTCATCCTGAGAGGCGTCGCCTCCTGAGATTTCACGCCGAGTGAAGCCTTTGGCCGAACAGCACACAACCGCCCGAAAAGTGGAGATCACATGTTGTTCGTTCGTCCGGAACTTCGCATGTTATCAAAAAAGCAAGACAAAGGCAAGAATCTTCGTTGGTGGGTTGGTGGGTTGTTCCCCAAAAGGTGTAAAGGCCAAAGATCCAACCAAACAGTAGCCAAGAAAAGGCAAATAACCGTGGCCTAGGAGACCTCCTTTGAGGTTGGCTCGGGAAAACAGGGGTGCTCCGAAGGGGCATCAAAAGTGAATCCAACCAAACCAATTGGTATGAATATTGATTGAGGATCCCCTTGGTGGACACCAATTTGGGTGAGGATTCATGCCAACCACTTTGGAGATGGTTCCCTATTGAAAATTCACAGGCATCTAGCTTGGTGAGCCCAGTTTAACCGGCACAATTCTCTTACAGCTCCGACTCTTTGGTGAACGTGAACATCAACATCGAGACAAAGAAAAACAACTACACATTCAATTGTGATTTCCTGTCCCTGGCAATCGCTGAATATGTCTTTAGCACCCAGACATAGAAACATGCTCGGTTGCTTTCTCTTCCCCTGCTAAACGCTTAACTTTTAGTGTTTTTTTTTCAATGGGGAAAACCCAGTAGTTGGCCAAAAGTTGTTCAGTCCTAACATCCAAACAAAATGCACCAAATGGGTCTTCCTCTTCACCAAACGCTTTTTGCTTTTTCAGTGCCGAAAGCTCCGGCTCCTGAGTTGACCATTTCCCACAAGGCACCGTTGGGAATCTCACATGTTGGGGCTTGTGATGTAGATCCAACGAAGCACATCCTTTTTTGAAACACCTCGTGGTTGAAGCCGTGAGGCAAGAAACCGGCCTTGCTTTTGTTGAAACTGGAAGCACTGGGCATCGAAACAAAGACCTGCTGGGCCTTTTCTGGTGAAGTCGGGGGTTTCATACCAAGCCAAAAAAACCGCTTTGAGTCTTCGCAGAACCATCTGGACTTTGGTTAGCAAGCTTCCGGCTGAGTTGACAGGGATCCTTAAACTGCTTTCCCCAAAAACCAAGGGGGATCCACCAAAGCAGCTGGTCAAGGTGATAATTTGATGGCTCACATGACGAACGCGGACCAAACCCTTACGCCGTCCCCTTTAACGCAAGGAATAACTTGCGATCGGTGCGAAATCGGTAGGGAATGAGAAACGGAATGAACCTGGGGATTCCCTTCAAGGCAACCACAAGGGATTGTTCAGAACCGTTTTGGGATTCCCTTAAAGACAACCACCAGTTGCATGGTTTCTAGAAATCATTCCATTGCGTCTCGCGCACCGATCGCAAGATAAGGATTGCCCGTAAACCGCCGTCCCAAATGGTTTTTCAAAACCCCTGCTGATTGCAGACACTCCTCAAAAACTTGGGGTTTCCTTTGCCGGTTTTGCTTTGCCGGGCACAGCTCAGATCCCCGCAAAAAAGTTTAACTTTTAATGGGTTTGAATGGAAGCCCCACGAAACCAGCCACAATCAACTATAAAGGTCAAAAAACAGATCGTCTGCTTACGAACCGCCAAGTACCCTTTTTCCTCTGTTTTTCTCGAACCCCCCCAAAACGCTGGCGAGTCCCCAAAACGTGTCCCGCGGCTTCGTTAAAATTTAGCCGGATCCGCCCCGCTCGCCTCACCCGCTCCGCCCAACCTCCGAGGCGCGCAACACCTCAGCGGCCAGCGCCGCCATGGCGTGCTTGGCCCCCAGCGTGGCCGCGCGGCCCAGCAGCGCCAGCACCAGACTGCGCCCCTTCGAGTCGTCGGCGTTCGTCTCCGAAGCGCCCAGCACCTCGGCGAAAACGAGCAGTTGGTTGGACAGAATGGGTGGATAGATGGCGAATGGAATAAAGGCAAGCCAGTGCGGAATAAGCGAATTTGCCAAAACACAAAGACTTGTTGTTCACTAACATGGTCTCAACCATGCCCCGTAACAGCGAGCACTGTGCTAGCCCGACTCAGTCAGTGCTTGACTTTTTTCCTGGCAAAACAAGTTTTCGTGGATGACACTTGGCGGTCCGGCGCCTTTGAAGCTCTTTTGGCGACTTTGCCTTGGGGGTCCGGAGAAAAAAAAGAAGAACAAGAAACGCCTGGGTCTATCATGGGTATCATGGGCCCGCAAGCCGGGCGTCTTGGGGCGCCCAAGCAGGCCTTCAGGGCAGGCGACAGGAAACCCTGTCCCCAAAAGAAGCCCCAGTGCCAGTGCGAAAAGAGCCTCTAGACTGTTGACCCTTTTTTGGTTGCTCTTTTCTTTGGGTCGAAGGTCTGAATTGGACGTACCCCCCAGGACCAGAGACTAGCTGAAAGGCCAAAAGGTCGGAGTCCCGACTCGCTTTGGGTGGTGAGACTAATCAAGGGCATGGAGGTAGCCCATTGGTGGATGGCTTTCAGGGAAAAGGGAAGCCGAAGCACCAATTGGAGGGAAGCTGAACTGAGGTCACTTGTGTGGGACGGCAACAGAAACAGGCACGCTCCACCATGCTATAGTATATGCGTTCACCATAAGTCAACTGTGTGGGTCTTCTCCAGATTGGTTTTTGAGGCGGACTATGTAGATTTGAACTCATCCCAAGTGAATATTATATTGCAGGAAGTCTCACGTTTGCTTCTTGCGGGTTTACCTCGCCATGAGGGTCATATTGAGGATGCTTCGCTTTCCATGAACGCAGCTTGGGATGACTAAACCAAAAGTGGCTCGCGGCCTCCCGCATCCCGGGTACACAGAAAACATATTCAGACTCTGCTTCATATTTTGTCAACCGAAAAATCAAAAAAATGGGAGACCCAAGGGTTTCTTCCCCCGAACAAAACCAGTTCAAACCCACGTCGACACGCCTTCCAAACCGGTTTCCACAATACCAAAAAGGGAGTTCTATGTGCCTTTTTTTGAGGGTGCCTTGGTGGATTTTAAAGGCAAACAAAGAGGAACACTACCCATTTTGGAAGGGTTCAACCTTAAACAAGACCCCATATGCGAGCCCCACCTCTCACTTCCTGAGTCAATCTGAGTGGATGCGCCAGAAAAAGTCGAACAACCTGTTGCTTCCACTAAAATGGTCCAAACCCCAAAAGCGACGATCAAGTCCGAGTCCCGGAATGCCCCTCTCGGCCTGGGGCAGGAAGCCCGGGTGTTCCTCTTGCGAGGCCAGCCGCGCCAGCGCCATCAGCGCCTGAAATTGCAGCGATGGGCAGGGAATGAGACATGGAGTGACCCCAAGAAAAACCATCCAACTGGTGGTTGCTTTTAAGGGAATCCGTACTTTTCTTCTCAGTTCGGCTTTTAAATGTGTCTCCTTTCTTGAGGAACATCTCAAAATTGGTCCCGTTGCCCGATTGGGGGGCATGGGAAATGAAGAAGAAACCACCGAAACAAACTGAAACACACACACACACCAAGCCAAGCAAAACACAACATGGAGCATCCCTGCACTGTGCGCAGCAAACCTGCAGCTGGCATATTATGCTTTTTTCGGGTGAGTAAAGGGGATGACGAGGAACCAACATGTGGAGTTGTGTCGTCTACTGTCACCCCTAGCTGCGCGAACAAGCAGAAACTGTGGATGTGTACAAGGTTCTGAACATGCAGCAAGCCTTCGACTTGCAGGTCATATATTTCAATATGACGCACCAAAACGGGAGGCCTTGGGGATGCGAATCCCAGGCTAACCCATGTTTTCCTCATCCAATCCACTAACAGGGCACTTGGACGGCCAACCCAAGTAGTATGGATAATAAGTCATCTAAGTAGGATTTATCCGATGCACATACCTCACTTAGAAAACGCATTGAACAAGCTATATATGTTTAAAGGGAAACATCCCACAAAAGCAAATTCGAGGACTCTTCAAAAGTTCACTGAACGGACCCGGAACCAAAAAGGGGGCATCACGCATCTACCTCAGCTGTTGCCCAGCCAAAAGAACATATGCTTGATTGTTCTCGTCCATAGTAAACCTCAAAATGTAACATAATTTTAAAACAGCTCCCTGAAGAGGTGAAGCATTCAGATCTGTGTCTCGCATATATATATATATATACGTCACGGCCGGATTCGCGGTGGATATCGGTTTCCCTTTCCCTTGAAACCGAAACTATAGACAAATCGACACAACAGGCCGAGGCTCCTGTGGTTTCCTTTGGCGTTCAAACAATCCCCTAAACAAGTACCCCAAGAACAAGCACACACACAAACAAACAAACAAACAAACAAACAAACAAACAAACAAACAAACAAACAAACGCAACAAAACCAAAACAAAACAAAAGAACACAAAACAAAACAAACAAACATGCGCACAAATATATATATATATATATATATATACCTGAATCTTTAGATGTGCATATTTCGCGCCGTTTGCTGAAAAAGCACAAATTTCCGTCCTTTGGCCGCGAATACACTTTTTCACTGCAAACGTGTCGTTTCAAGTTTGGCTGAAAACATGGTCGGGGAAAGTCGCCGTTTGGTTGGGTATTGTCGCCGTTTGGTTGGGTATTGTCGCCGTTTCGCCTTCGTGGATTTGTCCCAGAAGAGCAACAAAGTGAAAAGTGCCTGGAGACACAAAAAAAAAAGTAGTTTGTCTGAAAAAGCAGCTTTTCACGAAAAGGCATGAACAATACACGCTTTGGAAGATCCAGGTATATATATATATATCATACATATCACACATATCATTCGTGCCCTGGTCAAAGGTCAAAACACCTTCTTCGATCCACCCTTTGATTCGATCGCCTCAGGCAAGTCCTGACGCGCAGCCTCCACCACGTGAAACACCGCAGACTCCACCTGACGGAGTGGAGCGCGTGGATCGATCCCGAAATCGGGCAAATTCCAAGGGGGGTTCCGTTCCCGACCGACCAACCGACCGGCCAACCAAGCAGCCAGGGAACTAAGAAAGCAAGCCCTAGGCGAACAAAAAACAACACCACATCCTTCCGTTCCCAAACCTTCCAAATAGGGGAACCCCCACAATGGGGAGTGGAGGGGAGTGGAGTGGAGGGGAGGGGGGGGGGGAGTCACAGAAAGGTTCCGATTCTGAGCCCTTGAAACCAACTTTTCTCTCAGAACTTTGGTGAAATTCTCGCAAGCTGAGGCCACCTTCGCCGGTGGGATTCTGCGGCTTTGAGCCAAGCCATTCGAACGCTTCAAGGACTGAACTCGGTGGCGAAATCTGCTCCCCTGCTAAGAGTGACTCACTTTTGGTACGGGTTTCATGGGAAAACCCCCATCCGTTGGCAAAAGGTTGTTCAGTCCTAACATCCGTTCGCAACATGCACCAAAGTTAAGAAACTGCTTTTGGCTTCCCAGGAAAGTCTGGGTACAGATTTCCTCCCTGAAACAAGGCAAAGCGCATCTGGGCTTGCACACTTGACCTAGGACGGGGGGGGAACGGGTGGGGAATCCTGATGTCTCTCAAAGAACCACGGTTGCGACTCCGAGAAAACGAAGCAAACAGACACATGGACAAGTTTGATCAGAAGCATGTAGATGAGCAACAAAAACTAGATAGGAAATCTTCAGGGTTTGGGGATCAACCATCGATCCCTTGGAGTCTGGTCAAGACACTCGGAACCTCAAGCCGCGGGCTTGTCGCGAAAGCGCGCAGCGCGAAAGGGGCAGCTTGGACCAGCAATGAAATCAGGTGCAAAGACCAGGGTTCCTCTGGATGCGTGTTGACAAAATTAAGGAGACCGTGTACGTTTGCGTGTATCTGGTGGTTTCCAGGTGTATCCTTCAAGGGCCCTCCTGAAAAATGAATGACAATCGACTCGGCAAAAGATACTTTTTGGGGGACCCGCCGGCCTTTTGCAGGCAGCATGACATCGACACTATGTGTGTCTCCTGGCAACACTGAACTTGGTCACTGGCGCTTCGGAACAAGGCGATGCATACCTAGCAAAACTTGCCTGGTGGTCTTTGGATCCGAAAGCCACAGGCTTTCAACTATTGACATGTCTTCTTCGTGTTGGCCGCGGGGAGTGGTAGATGTGGGTAGCTATGGGAGCGAACCAGGCTGGACTCAACTCATACAACGCCCAGAAGTGCAGCATGAAAATCCCTGGGGACTTGTCCCGCCGCGCAAAGCGCGTGCGGCGGTTCGTTGTTCGAGTGTAGGAGGAGAGCCTACAGGTAGGCCCCAGGCGTTTGGCCAGGATTTTGGCGTTTGGGACTTCTTTAGAACTCTGAGAACCTGTCACTAGGGGGCTAGAGGGTCTCTTTTTTGAGGGCACCAACTGTTAAAGGCTGGTTTTACGGGGAAGCCAACGAAAACCGAAAAAATCCATCTGGACGCCGCCTTCCAAAAAAACCCAACAGCTCGGATCACCCGGCCTCCGGGCGCCGCGGCTCGCCACGATCCTCTTCACCTGGGCTCGCTGGTTAGGAGCGTCTCTGAGCTGCTTGGAGGGGGTCCCTCAGCTCTGATTGCTTTGGAGTGGTGGTTCAGGAGGGGGTTCTCTTTTGGTGGTCAAGGCGGGGTTTCTCTTTTCTTTTATACAAGAACCAGGGGTTCAACTCCGCAAACCACCAATCACAAGCACCAACGAAGAGCCACCCTCTCCAAGCAATGGTATGGTAGCAAAAACCACATGTCTCTGACACGTAAAAACATCTAAACACTTGATCCAACAACACTTGGCATGTTAGAAAAAACGGTGTTTTTTGCAGCCCCCTTCTAAACATGCCAGAACCAACACATATATTTAAAAGATTAAAACAGAATAAAAAAAAGGAAAAAACGTAAGACAACATCCAACAGCTTGATCCAACAGCAGCGAAATACCTGGAAACATATAAAACATCACGCCTGGACGACCCAACCGAGGTGCGCAAAGTGATGCGACCCTCGTGGTACATAGCCGCGATCTCCATGTGGCACTCTGCCTCCCCAAACTCCCCTCTGGAACCTTGTTTTTCCCGGATCTTTTTTTTGTTTCTGAAAGCAACTGTTTTTAGTTCTCAGGGAAATCCAGCTCCCTCACCTTCCGCCAGGTTCACAAAAAATGCAAAGCCGCTTTCGAGGTCCAATACCTTCCAATTCAATGGTGCCAATGATGCTTCGGCCAATTTCTGCTTTGGTCGAACCAACAAAAAGTCGTGGAATGTCGTGGAGGGGTTGGGAAAACCGGGTTTGGGGCAAAAAATGCTGCCCGAAGCATGGCCAAGTTAAAATTGCGCTCAACATGGAAATGGGGCATGCGGGTGCCTAAGAGGCCGAGTCCATCCTACGCAGGATCGCGTTGGAATAGCCTACGTGGAATGCCTGCGCGATCCACCCCGGACCAGATTTTCTTGCGCATAGCCGATGTGCAAAAAAACAAGATCGACCCGAGTAGCAAACGAATAGGTCAAGAAAACTCTGGCCTGTTGCTCATGAATCGGTGGGACATTTACCAAAGAATCTCCGCCTAGAAAGCTCCCCCAATGTCCCCGAGGGAGTTGCTCGAATGGAAGCGGGCACCCCTCCTTTCGTCCAACATGACACCTAAATTGATTTTCCAGGTACCCGCCATGTGCCTTCTGTGAGTGTGAGGCATACGCACTTCCCAAGTGGGAGTTTCTTCGGACCGCCGTTGGCTTCGTATAGAATCTGGAAACCAAGTCTGAGAGCGCCATCCTGGGGCGATTGCAAGCTACAAAAGGTCAATGAAGCAGCCACGGGGGTTTCTGAATATGCGCGACACCGATAAAAAGCAGCCATGGAATTCGCAATAAAAATGGGTTCCATGCACATATATATATATAATCTATGTATATATATATATGTTATATAGATGTTCAACGCAAAAACATCACCTACTACGGGAAACCCCCCTTCAAATTGCCAAACACCGAAGGGGGACACATCGGGACCCCCCGCAGGATGTGTGTGTGTGTGTGTGTGTGTGTGTGTGTGTGTGTGTGCGTGTGCGTGTGCGTGTGCGTGTGCGTGTGCGTGTGCGTGTGCGTGTGCGTGTGCGTGTGCGTGTGCGTGTGCGTGTGCGTGTGCGTGTGCGTGCGTGTGCGTGTGCGTGTGCGTGTGCGTGTGCGTGTGCGCGTGCGCGCGCCTGCGCGCGGCGCGCACACTCACACGTCGACACGCGTGCGCGCACGCGCACGCGCACGCGCACGCGCAACGCGCGCACGCGCACGCTGCACGTCGCTCGCGCACGCGTTCGCGCCGTTGCGTTCGGTGCGCGCGTTCGTGCGTGCGTGCGTTGGCGTGCTGTCGTGCTGTGCGTGCGTGCGTGCGTGCGTGCGTGCGTGCGTGCGTGCGTGCGTGCTGTGCGTGCGTGCGTGCGTGCGTGCGTGCGTGCGTGCGTGCGTGCGTGCGTGCGTTGCGTTGCGTTGCGTGCGTGCGTGCGTGCGTGCGTGCGTGCGTGCGTGCGTGCGTGCGTGCAGCGTGCGTGCGTGCGTAGTGCGTGCGTGCAGTGCGTGCGTGCAGTGCGTGCGTGCAGTGCGTGCGTGCGTGCGTGCGTGCGTGCGTGCGTGCGTGCGTGCAGTGCGTGCAGTGCGTGCAGTGCGTGCGTGCGTGCGTGCGTGCGTGCGTGCGTGCGTGCGTGCGTGCGTGCGTGCGTGCGTGCGTGCGTGCGTGCGTGCGTGCGTGCGTGCGTGCGTGCGTGCCAGCTGCGTGCGTGCGTGCGTGCGTGCGTGCGTGCGTGCGTGCGTGCGTGCGTGCGTGCGTGCGTGCGTGCGTGCGTGCGTGCGTGCGTGCGTGCGTGCGTGCGTGCGTGCGTGCGTGCGTGCGTGCGTGCGTGCGTGCGTGCGTGCGTGCGTGCGTGCGTGTGCGGTGCGTGGGTGGTCGTGTGTGTGTGTGTGTGTGTGTGTGTGTGTGTGTGTGTGTGTGTGTGTGTGTGTGTGTGTGTGTGTGTGTGCATGTCTGGGTGGACGTGTCTCGAAACCTAGCGGGTTTCAGAGAAAGAAGCGAAAGGTTGGCATCCAATTTGCATTGGACTTCTTTCTACTTCTCCCCTTTTGTCCTCTTCCACACTCGACTCCGCCCCAAAGCTGGATATCAGAGCTTAAGCTTTTGGGACCTTGGCTAAACGCACTTCACTAGAGTGGATTTGCCAATTTTTAACTTGCTGTTTCTGACTCTCAGGGTCCTCTTACCACTTTTTGTTGAGATCCCTCAAGCAACTCGGGATGTGGTACGGGGACTGCCGGGTTCTGCACACCAAGCCCCAGGACCCTTCGGGCGCTACAAATGGCATTCTTAAAATAACCCCTAACCATGTAGATTTAGCCCCAGTCTTTCAGCTAAAAAAACACATGGCCATGGGTCAAAGGCCAAATCGTACCCCCCATTAAACATCCCAATCCAACCACTAAAATCTTGACAAAAATGGGTGGTGCACCTACAACCAAAACGGGATCTTATTGGCTTTGACAACCACAGCCACATGGGACCCGGGAATAGGTGTCCTTTTGGAAAATAGATGGCCCTGGTAAATGGAATTTAACCCATCTAAACCAGTGGAACCCATCTATTCTGAACCAAACTAACCCAAAAAGGACACCTATGGGTCTACAAGATCTTCATTCCAAGCTTGGTTGCGGTTGACCCCCCGCAAAAGGTTTAAGTTTTCGGGGGTTTAGTGGAAAACCCGTCTCTCGTCGCCTCCACCAGGTCCTCTCGGTCAAAGCTGCCGCTCCGCGCGCGGGCGCTGCGGTGGGCGAAGGCCCCATGCCAATCGCACCAATCCGACAAGTCGACCCCCGGAATCCTCGAGGATTCGGCGCGGCGAAGGCGCGTTTTCGGAGGTGCCCCATTGGAAACGAGGGTGTTTGAGCTTCTGCTTCCTCTGAAAGGAACAGTCAAACGGAAGTCCCCAAAATGGAGGGCCATGAAGGGAAACGAAGGGAAACGAAGGCAGGGAAATGCAGAAGCATGAAGGCATGTGACGGGAAGGGCCCTGTTTTGGGGCTTCTCCCCTTGGGTTTCCCTTTAATGTCTACCTCTGATTGATAAGTACCCCCCCGAAACAACTTCCCTCCACAAATAGTTCCCCAAACTTTATTCCGAAAGGTTTAGCAATCATAGGTCGACAACCCTCAAGAAGGGTGCCTGAACACACCCTCTAGGGTGATCACTCCGTAATTAGCCGTAATTCAAATCGGGTCTCATCCATCCCAACTCGTGCAAAGTGAATGTTGTCCATCCACAGTATCACAAGTCACCCTTGCGGGAAGTCACCACATAAACCGCCCAAGGAAAAACGTCCAATCGGCATGGCCTAGTTCTTGCCGCTCTTTTGGCCGCAAGAGAAAGCGATAAACAGGTGCAGAACACTCGACCCGGGTTTGCTAACCAGGGAAAATGAAGTAGGGTGGCAATTCTGGCAATTCCAAATGTGACAAATCCATGCAGCTGGGTCCACGAAAAAGAGATCCTAAAGGGAAATCTTCTCCAATAGCAATCTGAAGACAGCAATTTGAGGCCTGCCCTCATTTGGAACCCAGCCATTTTTTACTGCCATTCCAAAACCGCAAAGGACCTGCATGATGGCTTTCGTCTTTCATGCCAGGGGTCTCATGCAGGTTCAGCACCAAGTCGCCGCCTTCTGCCTCAGAGTCGTAGTCTGCCGAGGAAATAGCATGGAACCGCAAAGCCGCCATGTGTGTGTAGTGGAACGAAAGGGAGGGAGGGAGGGAGGGAGGGAGGGAGGGAGGGAGAGAGAGAGAGAGAGAGAGAGAGAGAGAGAGAGAGAGAGAGAGAGAGAGAGAGAGAGAGAGAGAGAGAGAGAGAGAGAGAGAGAGAGAGAGAGAGAGAGAGAGAGAGGGAGAGAGAGAGAGAGAGAGAGAGCGAGAGAGAGAGAAAGAGAGAGAGAGAGAGAGCGAGAAAGTAGAGTACACCAGATCGCAACCACAAAAAATGACTCGAGCGGTTGGGGACCAAGCGCGTCCCTTTTGGAAACCCTTGACACATGCAATCTCTCTGATTGCCGTTGACGGTAGCCGATTGAGTCGTAACATACCCGGGTGTTGGTGTAGGGGGCGTTGCCAGGCCAGTCCAAGCTACCTGCTGGGGTGGAGGCTGGCTCTTGCGGGACTTGGTCGCCTCGATCAGCTGAGTCACCGTCCTAGCCATGGAAGACTGCGGCCGGGGACGTCCAAGTTTCCTCTTTTTGCGGGCACCTTTTCAGGGTTTCAAGCTGTTGTCCGAAGGGTTCCGCGTTGGTCAGTGGGTGCCGGTCGGGTCGGGTACCCCGGAGCCGACGAGGGTCAACGACCCCCGCAGGGTCGATTGAGATACCCTGTAAATTTGAATCGGATATCCACGAGTTTCCGGAATCCTCGTTGTCTTCAAAAACTTGCTCTCGCCCCCAGGACATGCATGAATTTCAGTAATATCAATCGGCTCCAAGAACGCCAGGGGGCGTTTCAGCAAGAGTCGCGGGCTTCAGGAAATTCCATGACTCTCAGCCAAAGACCATTTGTTTGAGCAAAGACTACTGGTACCAAGAAAAAAAGAAGAAACAAAACAGGGTTTCGGGAAAATTCCTTGGCCGTCATAAACGTGCCTTGGCTTCATACACATCCCTTGGATCCCATGAAATCTGCCGGTCGCAGGCAAGTAAGGCTACTTCTCACAGGGTTCTTGCCGAAAGGGCCCTTGAATTATTGAAACTGTGTCCGAAGGGTTTCTGCGATTGTTTCTGGAAGAGAGGCTAAAAAATACCCGACAGCAGCCGCACAGTCCGTTGCGCAGCTTGTAATACCAATTGCACTGGTTTCAGCCGAACTCTGACAAGTTTGAGAAAACCAGTGGCTGCATGAACTTTCTCTGGTCTCCGGAAAATTCCGTGGCTTCAAGATATTCACCTGGCCCCTGGCCCCCATCTCCCAGATTCTCGCAGCCACGCCGCAACTATTTTCCCTCATTTCCGCTGCGCGCGTGACTCAGAGGCTCTCTCGCATTTGCACTTTTTGCAGAAGTTCCCCGTCACCTTGTTCGCGGTGTCTAGAAAATCCAGGGGTACAGACTTTTGCTCTTGAGGCACTCACTGCTCGTCTTCTTCACCGGCTTCACCTGGCACATGCAGGTCTGGAATCCGTGCGGGAATAGCCCACCCCCATCACACAGGTCCCCCGTCCAAGCGCACAGACACAATCATCAAAGCCGGGCTAATCTTTCAGGCAGCCTCTGCTGGACAGGGATCCGGGAAAGGCCCGGAAGATCTGTGGTTGACGATGCCTCCTTTTCTGAAACATGTCTCAGACCCGGCACAGCTTCACGAATCCCCCCCTGACCCGCTGGCTGCCCCGCAGAGTGTTTCAGGGAATGCTCGAAACAGTGCTTCCGGAAACGCCCAAGCGAAACTGTCAGGCCCCCCAAGTGCTTCGAAAGAGGGCCCGGCACATCATTCATGCATTTTTCAGGGCGCCGCCAGTTATTTGCTTTGCGTTTGCTTCGGTAACCTCATCAGGCTTTCCTCTGGGCCATCTCAAACGGAGATGGAAAGAATCGATTGGTTTAAAAGCACACAGACCATAAGGGCTAGCACGAGAGCCTATGGCAGGTACTGTTAGCCACGCTCACGTCCTAAAGGCCGTCACATGGACCCAGGCATGCAGGGTCCTTTCAGCCAAGTAACCGAAATCGTACAAATCTGACTGGCCTTGGCTGCGCCTCTCTTCGCGTCTGCCTAGCAGAATCTGGACATGTCAGCATGAACATCTCAAACAGGAGCATGACATGTCACAAGAACCCGCACAGTTTCAGGAACTGCCCTTTGTTTCAAAAATAATCAGCAGACTTAGCAGCCGTCGGTGCCCAGCCTCCTTTGCCTCAGTCTCACCATCTGCCACCTGCAAATGGAGTGGCCCTTGCAAGCCATAGGACACAGGAACGCCCAGTGGCTAGAACAATATTCGTTGAGCCGTTGGCTTAAAACACATCCAGATCACTGGTTTTGAAGATCCATCAGCAACTGGACAATCCGCACGTGACTGAAAAAAACAATTGGATTCCAGGGCCTCCGTGGGCTCCAGTCCAATCCATGCTTTTCCAGAAAATCGTGGCAAATGTTTCAGGCAGGCCCTTTGATTTCAAGAAACCCTTTTATTCCATGACAATCAACTGGCTTCATAAAAATCTTGGGCTTGAAGAACCCCCCGCTTCCCGCCAGGAAATCCGTAGGTGGCTAGAAGCCATCTGAAGCCAACGCGGCCCTATTGACACACCGTTGATTGTCCTGGGGCGGAGGTGTTTCAGCAGAGCAACTAAAACGACATCAACGTCTCTCTGGCCTTGTTGGCCTTGGTCTTGTGCTTTGCTGCCACCCTTTCGGCGGCTGCCTGGCAAAGTCTTGAGATCTCAGCAGAACAGCTGAGACAAGAAGAGCTGTTGATGGTCTTCAAGAAAATCCAGGGGTTGCAGAACATCTTGGCGCTTCCAAAAACTTGTCAGGTAGATGTCAGACTAATCAGGACGATGGGTCGGTTGCAGGAGAAACCACTGGCTCCACAGAGTCCATTGAAATGGGCCTCACTAAAGAGAGTCCGCCCTGCCCTGCAAAGCAGCTGCCGAATCCTCTCAGATAATTCTGCCCGCCGTGAAACAGTCGGTTTCAGGGCGTGATCACAGACTCCCCCTGCACTACAAACAGCAGGTCCAATCCTATCACACACTGCCCCCCGCAAAACATGTCCCCTCGCACTACAACGCAGGTTCTAGCAGCTTCTGGACATTTCAACGGCCCTGAAGGGGCCTACACGTGCTGCCACGCCAAACGTCTGCGAGGGACATAGCTTCTACGCCCAATGTCAGCATGCCAGTGTCACCGCAAGAACTGCAAGAAGCAAACGAGGGCCAAGAGCCGACGAGACATCCTCCGCAACAGCAACTGGAAGCCAGCCTGCTCCTGGGAGCCTTTTCGCTGGAACGCCCTTCTCCATGAAAGCTTGTTGTGTCTTACACTTGGCAAACATTCCTAAGTTAGGGGGCCCTCCCTGTCGGGGCCCCAATTGATTTCAAAAAGCTCCCCCCCCTGGCGCGTCAGCAAGTCCATCGGCATCCAAATAGGGGGACGCTTCCACGAAAGCCTACAGCAAAAATCCATGGGCTTCAGGAACCATCGGCTCCCAGCTTCCTTTGCCTCATCCGCACCGTCTGCGACGTGCACACGGACCGGCCCACGCAAGCCACAGGCCTCAGGAAAGCGCATTGGTTGCAGGAACATTCGTTCAACCCTTGGCTTCAAGAACATCCCTGCAAGACATGTCCATTCGCATCGGGAAAATCCAGCGAATCCAAGACAATGTCTGAAACATGCTGTGGTTTCAGGAGCCCCTGTTGGCTTTGAGTTTTCTTTGATTTCAACAACATCCCTTTGCCCTTGCAGAAAAGAAGTGGCTGCTTAGTTGAACAGGCAACAAATCCGCGCTTACGCAGCTTTCACGGGGAAAAACCATGTTAGCTACCTCAGCTTTGCCGGGGCCTTCCGCTTCTGCGGCTGCCGCTCCCTGGGGTTGGCATCGCCCCTCTTGGCGGCTGCCTGGCAGATTCTCAACATGTCTGCACCCCTGAAACGTTCACAGCACTCTTTCACTGGGGGACCCCAACCCCATGGACAACCTACATGCTTCAGGAAAATCTCGTGGCGTCAAGAAGACCCTCTACCCCCAAAGAAATCTCACGGTTGCCATCTGAAACGGAGGCGGCCCCAACCAATGGCCGAGGTTTGTCCCGCGGGTGCTGTTTCAGCACCTTGAGATGGCAGATTCTCACGTCTAGAGCCCTGAAGGGGCCTACACTCGTCATACCTCCTACGCCAAATGTCAAGCTTGCAAGAAGCAACGAGGGACATATCTGCTACGCCACATGTCGAGCATGTGACTCTCAACGCAAGAATTGCAAGAAGCAACGAGGGAAGAGCCGACGAGAGATCCTCCGCCAGAGAAGCAACTGGAAACCTGTGGGCTCCGAGCCTTCTTCTCATGATCCTCGCCATTGGCTGCCTGCACGCATTCCCAGCGACGCGTGGCAGAAGAGAGGGCAGACCAAGTCAGGAATTCCAGCAAATGCCGGAGAGTCCGTGGAGGAATTTGGTTTGTTGCAAGTCTGGGCCGAAGGAATGCCTTTAGAACCATCACGTGTCCACGAGGCACAACTTGCTCGGAGAAGGGACTCCCAGGCTCGTTGCAAGAAAAACGGGTGCCGTGTGTTCACACAAAAACAGGCCGCACGCGTGTGTCGGGCGCCATGTTTCAGTTTGTTTTTTGCACAGACCCCATTGCTGCTTTTTAGACACGACCCGCGCATCTGACGCCTCTTGTGGCTCTCTCTCAGCGGCGCAGGCGTTCTCTGTGAGAATGCGGTCCGCCACGTTGGCCAGCATCGCCTGCCCATGGTCGGAGCGAAAAGATTTCAAGAGGCACGGCGCTTGACAAGCTGGCGGCCACGCAGTGCTCGCATTCCCCACAATCGACAGCCATCACGTCATGAGATCATGAGAGCTACTGCAGCCGGCTTCAGCCAAGCCACTTTGTGCCGTTTCTGCGACCCCGGCTCCATCTTGAGGCCGCTCCATCTGCAACCTCAGGGCCTGGCACAGGGAATCTCTAGTCTGAGGCACAGACTTGACTACCGAAAGAGCCATCGGACCTTCACGGACAGCAGCCCGGCCCCGTCTGGCATGGAAGCGCAGCACCGAGCACACGCTGCGCACCAATCGTGCCAGGCGTGCTGCGTTCTGGCTCCATTCCTGCATTCCACGGTGCACTTGCACAGGAACCGTAGCAGGAGGCGCTTCGTCCTTGTGCAGGGAAGAAATGCAACTGGGAGTCAACCTTTCGCTGTTGCTCACCCCTTTCAAGTCCATTGACGCAGTCATTGTGTGTGTACATGGAAGAATTGAAGAACTCCAGCTGTTGCCGCGGCCTTGGCCTTGGCCTTCACTGCGCCCCCTTTGGCGGCTGCCTGGCACATTCTTGAGCAGCAGGAAGATCCCTCGTTTCCAGGAACAACCCTCGGTTTCAGAAAGAAATCATAGTTTTTAAGGAAAACCCGGTAGGTAACCAAAAAACTTAGGTTTCAGGATCATGCGTTGGAATCCATTGGACGCAGCAAAACCCTGTG